CCCCAAAACCCCAAAACCCCAAAACCCCAAAACCCCTTAATTTTATAATTTATTGAAATGAATGCTGAAAATAGACAAGGACTTGGTATGTATCGACACTATCTTTCCATTCGCAAACAGCCACTTAAAAGTGCTCATACATATTTATAGATTCATTTGAAGTTGCCCATGGGGTCATTGAGACATTGTGTAAAAATATTTTAGAGATTATTTACCCTTTAGCTAGGAGTATTAATCAAGAAATCTTCGAGTAAGGGAATATCTCATATTTTAGAAGGTAAACAACGAACATTGGGCTTAACGAAGAGTTTTTAATAGAGGATTGGATTTTAAGTCGAATAAACTTGTTAAGGTTTGACTTACTATCAATGCGAAAAGTTTGATTTCAACTAAAAATTGAGTTTAGAATAGAAATGATAAAAATAATGTTATTTTTCATAGAGCAATTACAAAATGTGCTCCAATTTACGCAACAGACCAGTTGCTATCTTCCTTGGCTTGACTCATGAGGTATCAGGTTGATCCCAATAAGAATAGGGAGTTAGGTAATAAACCATCATCTAATATGTGTACAGATGCATCTTCAGATTTTGACATAGAGCCATCTCCAGCAAAAGGAGATGACCGTGTAACTGGGTTAATTCCATGAAACAAAAGTAAATAGTTCGTTGAATGTTGTTCTAGAGCCAAAACCTAACACTGAAATCCAAATGAGCTTCAGAAGAATGTAAGCGCCTCTTATAAAAGTTAGGTCTACTGCGAAGAGACCAAGTATGACAAAAGCATTAAAATTCTTGAAAGGGAAATCTCATGGCTCGAGTAAATGCGCATCTTTATTTATAGAGAATAAGCAAATCAAGCTTGATATCAAACCGCTGCATGAGCCCACTCCTCGAGAATCTCAGAGCCGTAAGGATTTTGAACGGATAGTAAATCCCATCATAACGAATATTAGAAATAAGCTGAAGAGAGATAAGATTGAAGAGATCAAACGTTTTAAGATGAAGCAGAAGACACTTGCTAAGAAGAGAGCCCAGATGAGGGACTGAAAACTCTTTACAGGTGTCACCTCCGATCATAATGGAAAACTTCTTTTTATACACAAAAAGAAAGGTATTTTGAATTGAGTGTTAGTATAGGCAGTTTTAGCCATACTTGCAATGTTGGATTCAAGGTTTCAAATATGAAGAAAAAGGTCGGGAGAGAACTTACTTTCCTTCACAATGTTAACACTAAACAATTCAAAAAGGTAGTTTTGTGTTTGATTTTTAGATCAAAGTTATGGAGAATACTCAGAGCCAGGGCTTTGTCCAAGATGAGAAAGAGCAGTTTTATGACACAGAATCTAAGTAGTTAAGCTTCTTTAAGGTGTTTAGATTCCGGGTTACTCTTACATCTGTTAATAAAGGTGTAAAGCTAATCCAAGGAGATGAGATAGTGCAAGGACCTCCAGATGATGTATTTTATTTTTAATATTTTAGGATTTCAAAACTGAGATTGATCGCAAGGAAAACTTTAATTTCAATTATACTCAAACTGATAGTTCTTTAGAGCTTAAAGAAAACTCTAAGTTGATTGAGTAAATTAATTCATTATTGTTCAGAGAAAAGGAAATTGAACTAACTGAGAAATCTAAAAATAGCTTTCAATTGCCTGCCAGAATTAGCAAATCAGTTCTAAAATCTTCCTTTGCAACTTTCCAAAATCCACCTAACAATGAGAGCGCCTCCAAAAATAAATACTTAAAATCAGCTTCAAAAAATCGCATAATAACCCAGAATAGTAAAATTTATACCAAATTCCTCTAGCTACTCAATCTCTCAACAATCTCTACATAAAACCCAAAAAGAAAGTAAAAATTATATCTTTCTCTCAAACTAGCACTTACTATAAGCCTCAAAAAGTAACTAAAACTTCTAAAAAGAAACCTCCGAGACCTGAAACTGCTAAACAAATGTAACAACTGGCCTCACCTTACAGGTACAAGAAGTCATTGCACTCTAACTACCGAAAGACACGCTCTGAATATTTTAAGAAGCCTAAAATAGTCAAGCCTGAGGTCACTCTGGCTGACTCAAAAAGGTCTCAGTCTCAAGAATTCAGAATTGTTAAGCGAAAGCAAGCCATTCGCCCTATTAGCAGTAAACCAGCTGTTAGGAACTGGTCTGCTGGTAGGTCAATGCCCTGGGAAACAAAGGGGTTTAATCATAAGGAATGGATCTCCCAGCAGACTACTTTATAATTTGCATATATGTAAACCTGGCATGTTTTAGGGGCTAGAATTTATGGGTTTTACATTAACCAGAAACCTCCATTCAAAGCTGAAATGTTATTGAATAAATCACTTGATTCAGCTATGTAGTGCGAAAACGGGGTTTTGGGGTTTTGGGGTTTTGGGGTTTTGGGGTTTTGGGG